AAAAATTGGCTTTATGCAAAAACTGTAACCATGGAGCTTTTCACCAGCCATATATGCATGTAGTATAGCATTATTATTTCATTACTCTATGTGTGTTACTTTGCCAGCATATTCCATGTGCTGATCCGTTTTCGGGCTGCAACGTTCATGTTGCAGACTTTTTAGACGATGAGTATGATGCCTTAGGATCGTGGTTCTATACTCAATGATGTCGTTGGAGTTGATGGACTCACTTATCTTCCAAGCCTTCCGATGTTATCGTTATTAGATGGCCTTAAGCCATACTTATTGTAATAAGTTCTCTTTGGAGACATTCGATGTAATAAGTGGGTGATTGCTACTCTGTTATAAATCCTTCAAGTACTGTGCGTGTCAGCATTACTGACCCAGGGATGACACTGATGCACAGAGATCAGACTGTTTGGGGTCTAGTCGCTACACCTATCCAAGGGAAACACCAACGCAAGCTCAAGAAGTAGCATTCCCGCTCTCAATTCCTCCCACGTCCCTCCTGTACGCACTTGGCAAAGCCCTATCGGAATTCCGTTGCTGCCACCACCACCATACCGTCGTGCTGGTTCCGATCTCATCTATCTCATCTCCCTCGTTTGCTAGATCAAGAAGGAGAGGACTCCATCGAGCTGAACGTGTGCTAATTTCAGAGGTGTCGTCCGTTCGGCACTAGATCGGATTGGATCGTGAAGAGTATGACTACCTCAACCGCGTTACGACGCTAACGCTTTTGGTCTACAAGCGTATGTAGACACCCGTAGGAGTCTGGGCCGTGTCTCAGTCCCAGTGTGGCTGATCATCCTCTCGGACCAGCTACTCATCATCGCCTTGGTAAGCTATTACCTCACCAACTAGCTAATCAGACGCGAGCCCCTCCTTGGGCGGATTTCTCCTTTTGCTCCTCAGCCTACGGGGTATTAGCAACCGTTTCCAGTTGTTGTTCCCCTCCCAAGGGCAGGTTCTTACGCGTTACTCACCCGTTCGCCACTGGAAACACCACCCCTCTTGTAGCTATGCATCTCCAATATTGGATCTTGGGTGTTTCATACAATTTTTTTTTACTTTCATGCTTCATTCCCCATCAGTGGTCTCAAAAAGTCGCCCCTTGGTGAGCCGAGAGCACCAACTAGTCTAGACGACCCACGGTGCACACCGCATGTGCACGCTTTAGGATCTGTTGTTGTCATTTTTCATCGTCTCATCTTTAGGAGGGATCATTGCATTGACCTTGCCAGGCCCAACTGTCGTCGACATCACCACAACGCCAAATAACGCCACCAGCCTACGCACGTCTATCAACTCGCGTCCAACGTTGAGACTCCACTGCATCACGCCGCCGAGACCCACCGTCTTCGATGCGGTAGATGTAACACCGCTCCACCTGTTGGCGCCTCCAGTCAGTATCTGCTCCAAAACAACGCCCTTACGAGGAAAATGACAGTAAAGCCTCCGTCATCATCCGATCCGGGAGACTGGGATCTAGGATCCTCCCCTCCCGCCCGAGTAGATGCCCGCTGGAGGAAGAGCTAATAATTTACGTAGTCAATGTTCAATCGATTAGGTCGGCTAGCCCCATATTCTGATTTACATGGCATGCAAGCTTGATCTTCTTCTCTTTCTCTTCCATCTATTCTACTCCTGCTCCCTCTTCACTCTCTTCATAATGCAACAACTCCTCCACCTGCACCCCCATTTTCCAAGATTGCTAATCCCCCCTCCCCCCCACCTCCCCCCCAAGTTGAAGGTTGCGTGCCTCACCTCCATGAATGACTCACGGCTAAGCTTGAGTTTGAGCACAAAATGGGCGTCCTTTGACAATTGTTGGCTTGAGGAGATGTTGGTGAGGGATGGATGGGTCCGAGGTTGCCCGATTGGGCTCCGATGAGGCTCGGGCAATACGAATTTGCGTTGATGAACCCATATTGATGGGGGCGAAATTTTTTGAACATTGTTGAGATGTTTCGGACACGCTGCAAACGTATACGATGTTTTTTCCTGCGAGGGAAGCATATACGGTGAATTTTCTTGCGACGGAAGCGTATATGATGTTTGTTCTGTACATGTGAGAAATATGTTGCAATGATTATGGACGTCAGTTGGAGAGGTCAAATTTATATAGGCTGCAAAGTTTGTTCACTGTGTTGTATGCAAGTTCTTGTATATACTCCCTCCGTCTTATAATATAAGAACGTTTTTGACACAAGTGTAGTGCCAAAAACATTTTTATATTATGGGACAAAGGGAACATATAGTAGTACGGAGTATGTTGCATGCATTCTGCTTTTCATGTGCTAGTTAAAAAGAGAAAGATCACGGAAACTCCTGCCCATCCAAGTATCTCGCGTGGCTGCGCAACCGAAACACGCGAACAAGACACGTGTGGGCGGTAACCACCCTTCCCGCCACCACCATGCATGTGCCAACGCAGAGAATCAAAACCCATCAGAAAATCCTTCTCCCGACGGCCGATCCGGGGTTAGGAGCCCGAGATCCGACCAAACGCTGAAAACAAAACTCCAGCCTCCGCCCGGGCCACCGCCGCCCACCGCCGACGTGCAGATCTCGATCGCCACCGCAACCACCGCCGCCACGTACGACGCAGCGACGCGGATCCACCCCGCGCACCGCATCCAAACCCAACACACGAACAAATTCGATACCCTCGGTCGATCCCGCATCATGATTCTGCTCCATGCGAAACTTGCGAAGCAGGGGTCGTCGTCTCCGGAGAACACGAGTCCGTCCCCGAGATCACGCGAGATCGGACATGCGTACGTGTGAGACAGGGACGCGACCAGCGGCGGAACCCCGGCCGGCACATGGGCCGCCGAATCCTTCCGGCTTAATCTAGTCCGAGTACGCGAACCCGGCCGGAATATTTACCTAGCCAGTAGTAGGAGTAGCATAGTGCAGCGGCACTCAACCACCGTCGGGTTCCCCGGCGCCGGTTGTCCTCTTGTGCACGATCAGCGCGCGTTCGTGATTCATGCATGAACCATCGGCGTCGTTCACAGTTTACTACTCGATCAATCAGGGGGTCAACTTGAAATACCCAAGGGCCAAGGTTACGGTTGTGAACGAAAACAAACAATGATTGCTCGATCAAGGTTTTTTTTTTTTTTTGCGACAGCGATCAAGGTTTCCGTTGTCGTTGAGAAGGAACAGAAGGATACTAGTACCACTACTTGGCGATCGATTGGGATTAGCAGGTCATCATCCCCAATTATACGTTTTCCGCCAAAAAAAAAGGAAAATCCTCCATTTTACGTGACGAAAATTCGGATACGGCTACAATCGATTGAATTTACAAGTTGGTCAGTCGATTTGTTCCCAACCGTTGGATGAAAAAGCAACCGCCGAATCTTCTTATATCTCTGACAAACATTGTTCATCGTCTTTCTTGTTCGAAATCTCGATCTGAACCGCCCACAACCGTCGGCCGAACTGCCTGCTTATGCGGCCCGCGGCACTCCCTCAAGCATCTTCGTGTTGCTGCCACCCCGGCTATCCTTCTAACCCCGGCGATGACCAATTTGTTGGGGTAAACTTGCACCACCCCCACACCCCTAAGATAGATAATGAGATAGCCTACCGCCCTAAGATAGATAATGGGTGATGGGCAGCCTGCCACCCTAAGATAGATACCGGGGTTTTCTCCTGCGAGCTCCTTCCTCCGCTCAAAAATCGACTGATCCAAATTCCAAAGTCTGGAGACTTACATATAGCTATTGTAAGTCTAGTTTGAACTTGGAGGAAGATAGAGTATGTAGTGACGAAATGTGTTGATTCGGCAGCAACTATGCCCCCTCCTTCTCTGTAATAAGCAATTTGCAACATTAAAATGGCTTGACGAAACTTCATCGCGATCTGAATAAACCATGAGATCTTGCACCGAAATGTGCGATGCACATTCGTTTTGCACAAAAAAAAAATCAGCTAAAAATACAGAACTTGGAAAATATCTCTGAATAAACAACATTTTCGCGGGGCGACCGCCGTCCAGCACAACTCAACCACAACACTAGCGCGAGCGCCCTGCCATTGTTTATTGCAATTTGGAGGAAGAAGAAGAAGAAGAAAGGAGTGGTTATTTATTTCATATTTCTCTCTAAAAAAATGATTTGTTGGGTTTTATATGCAACCGATTCAGTCATCCAAACCCACTACGTACCGCCTAGCTAGCTAGGCCTAGTAGAGAGAGAGAGAGGACGACAACCACTGCACATGGGGGCGCCCGCCAATCAAGCTCTCCAACCAATCCGTCGCACGAGTTACGTTCCAGGACAAAAACCCATCCGGCCGCTGCATTATTAAGTTTTCCATATCGTAACCAACAAATGATCCACCTTCGGAGCAGCAACCAACCTCCATCGATATCGCCAGCTTCCTCCACATTGTTTTCTGAAAAAATTATCACGTAGAGCGAGCGATGGGAGTTCGGGGGCGCAGATGTGAACAAAATGTGTATGTGTTGTGATGCGTGGAGCAGGACACCGTCTGCGTCGATCATCCATTAGAAAAATGGTTTCCAGTACGTAGCCAGTTCTGTCAGTGCGTGCTGACAGAGAAAGAAAGGCCAGATAGTTAATTTGCTACCTGGTTATCTGAAATAATGGTCGTCATTATCTTGCAACAAAGAAACCAACTCCAGAAAACACACATGGATTAGCACGAATGATTTATGAAGAAAAAGAAATTTCATTCCATTTCTTTGGGATGGTGATCGAGGGAGCAGTACAAGCGGTCGGGATGAGATGAACAACTGGGGGAGCAGAAGAGAAGCTTCAAAATAGGGAAGCTGCTATATACACACACACACACACCAGCATCAGCATCAGCATACGGATGATGCATGGGAGGGGGAGCTTCCGGCGTCGCCTGCTCGCCTCTCAGCCCAAATCTCCCTCCGTTCTCGCTGTTCTTCTCGCTCTCTCCATCTCTCGGACACGACGCTACTACATGATAACACACGTACGTGCACGGCGCACCTACGACGACTCCTCGGGGATACTCGCCAGCGCGGGCCGCCACCCGGCCGCCGCCGCGGCATTGGCGGCGGCGCGGCGGGCCTCCATCCTCTTGATCTCGGCCACGATCTGCGCCGCCGTCTTCTGGCCTCCCACGGTCAGCGACAGCAGCCGCGCCGCCTCCTCCTTGCTGAGGAGCACCTTCACCCTCACGACGCCCTTCCTCTGGCCACCGCCACCACGACCCGCCGCCGCTGCCGCTCGTCTCGGGGAAGCCTTGATGCTCTTCACACCCGCCCCACCTACTTCGGATTCCGGCGAGGACTTGCCGCCAATCTTGTTGCCGCGCGGCGTCCTCTTCATCCTGTGGAGGACCTTCATGAGAAGCTTGAGCGAGTACATCCTCCGCCTGGGCCTCACCGCCGCCGGCAGAGCCTTCACGCCGTGGTCGACCAAGCACGGCAGAGCGTTGCCCATTTTCTCTCGTCTCTGTGCTGCTTGCCGTGTGCTGGCTTGTGAACTTGTGGCTGTGCGTGAGCAGAGCTGGGGAAAGAGAGAGATGGAGAGAGGCTAGAATAGATGAGCAGTGCCGATGGCGGCCTGGTGGTGACAGCCATGGCGTCTATATAAGAGCATCTCCAACAGCCGCGCTATAGCGCCGCGCGTAAAAAACCCGTTAGCGCGCGCGCTGCGGCTGGTTTTGCGCGCCCGCCTGCGCTGGCTCCAGCAGCGGCGCTATAATGCAGCGCGCGCCGCCGCTCTAGCAGGGCGCAAAAATACAGCGCGCGCCGCACAAATCACATATACATTTGCAAGAAGATGAGCAAAAATGATCAAACAAACAAAATAAAAATCAATAACAAATAGTTTAAAATAAATCATTACAACACAAACAAATAGTTTATCGTTCAGTACAACAACAAATAGTTCAAATAAATTGTTACAACACAACAAATGGTTCATGAAGTTCATGCTCTTTGCCGTCCATGCCATGCCCACCACTCTTCAATTAGATCTTTCTGAAGTTCATTGTGCGTTGCGGGACGACGAATGTCATGATAGGAGGCAACAAAACGGGCTACCCTTTCAGCCTTCCGCCGCACTCGCACGGGATGTCCCAAGAGCTCATACTGTGAGTAGTCTAAATCTTGGCCACGCTCATTCTCGATGATCATGTTGTGCATGATCACACAAGCGTGCATGATGTACCAAAGCATTTGTTGATCCCAAAATCTTGCCGGTCCTCTCACAATAGCAAATTGGGCTTGCAAAATCCCAAATGCTCTCTCCACATCTTTTCTAGCCGCCGCCTGAGCATTGTGGAAATCAAGATTTTTCTTACCTTCCGGTTTTTTCAACGGCTTCACGAAGGTTTGCCACTTTGGATAGATGCCATCCGCTAGATAATAGCCATAGTTGTACGTATGGCCATTTGCTACAAACTGCACAGGTGGCAACTCACCGTTTGCAATTTTATTCATCAGTGGTGACCGGTTGAGAACATTGATATCATTCAAAGATCCAGGCATTCCAAAGAATGCATGCCAAATCCAAGTCTCCTGATCGGCCACCGCTTCAAGGATTATAGTGGAACCCTTTTTTTGGCCGTGGAATTGACCATGCCATGCCTTTGGACAATTCTTCCAACTCCAATGCATGCAATCTATTGAGCCAAGCATACCAGGAAAGCCGTGCGCTTTGTTCATCGCCAATAGCCTTGCGGCGTCTTCAGCAGTGGGAGCTCTCAAATACTCCTCGCCAAACACTTGCACAATTCCCACTGCAAAGCGCTTGACACACATGATGGCTTGGCTCTCACCCATAGCCAAATGATCATCAACTAGATCAGCCGGGATACCGTATGCCAACATACGCAAAGCGGCTGTCACCTTCAGAAAAGTGCTATGCCCGAGCTCTCCGGCGGCATTCCTCCTTTGCTGGAAAAACCGGTCATGGCTCGCTAGTTTCTCTGCAATGCGCCTGAACAACTCGGTGCTCATCCTAAACCGGCGACGAAAATACGACTCCGGGTACGTGGGATTCTCCACGAAATAGTTCTTCATCAATCTGTTATGGGCATCAATCCTATCTCTCCAAATTTTCTCCCGACCCATAACCGAACCACCGTGCTTCGGTTTTTTATTGATATGCATAGCTACGATCATTGCAAGATCCTCCTCCTCTTTCATATCAAATTCTTCTTCGGAAGAATCATACGACGAACTCATCTACAATGTTCAATATTATACTATAAAAACTACAATTAAAAACATGCACCAAATTCATGAAGTTTGAACAATACATACCTTGTAGGCGTTTTGTCAAACACCTTGCGGGCGCGGCGCGGCGGCGAGCGCTCGGGCGCTGTTCCTCGGACAACGGAGGCGCGCGGGCGCCGGCGGTACTAGGAGGGGATGGGCGGAAGCGCGGGGATAGGCCGGGGAAGCCTGAGACGGTCGCCGGGGGTGCGCGGACGGCGGCGGCGGCGCGGCCGGTCGGGGGTGGAAGCGCGAGAGGAATAGCGGGCGCGAGCGCTCGAGTGTGCCGCGCGCTGTAGTGGGCGCCCGAAATACGCCGCGCGGGTAAGCGTTTTTGCCCGCGCGCCCAACCCGTTTTAGCGCGCGCGCCGTTTTTGCGCGCCCGCTGAAGCGCCCTGACGCGTTGCGCGCGCGCTAAAAATGCCTATTTTGCGGCGCGGCGCTAGTTTAGCGCGGCTGTTGGAGATGCTCTAACGAACGGCACAGCCGCGCGAGGACAAGGGTCGGAAGGAAACTTAACTAAAATATAGTACGCGAGGAGTAGGTTGCACTGCCCAATGGACAGTATTTGCTGCTACAGCTTAAGGGTCAAAATGGCCTTCAACAGTTAGCACTTGTCCACGGCAAGTAGACACAGATTAATACCACTGCATGCACAAACCAAAACTAATCACATCAAAGCAAAAGTCGGCACATGCTGCGTACCGTAACACAACTTGGCCAACATTTGTACTACCATATCACTTGTTATTTACTCACAAAAGAGAGGAACATGTGTGATAGGCTGATAGCACTTCATCAAAGCGGGTGTCGCATGGAGTTCTGTGGGCGGTGACATGCGCATAGGGTTCGTGGATGACTACGTTTCTACGGGAAAGCGGGGGGGGAAGGAGACACCGTGGGGTGGAAAGGCGACTAAAAATACAGTTTATCGTGACCAGGATAATTATCTTGTACTTGAGCTTGGACCGGAGTAGGCCGTCCATTGCATCATGTGCGGGATTCCAACTAGCCCATTGGAGCAGACCCTGGAGAGGAATAGGCTGGCTGGGTCGCGGAACAAGTAGATTACAGCTACTCTGCTGAGCCTGGCCTCTAAGCTCCAGGTGCATGCAGACAGAGGTGGGTGCTGTTGCTGATTTGCCTAACCACGTGAGTGGTAACCGGAATGTGTGCAGCATTTTGGGCTCCAGATTAGCAGCACCTGGCGCTGACGAAGAGGGCCGGGGGAACGAGCCGATTTGGTGTGATAAGTTTGCATCTTCCGGAATTGCCAAGCCTAGTTCAGAGCACAGATGGAGAGTTGCTCACTTCAGAACTCGCTGCGAGTTGAGAGTTCAGAACCCAGTTCAGACTTCAGCGCCTTTCGGAATTGTCTGCAGCTGCGAGTTCAGACTTCAGAACTTGAAGCTCTCAACACAACAACCAGCTTAAAGCTCCACTGCGCATGAATGGCAGGAGATTGATTCTAGTGTGCGCCTTCCCAAGGAAGAAAAATTACCAGCGATACTAGCTGCACAGCGTCTGCTTTAAGCCATCTGCACTGCTTCTGCTTTCAGGTTGTGTATCTGTTCTGTTCTGCATTGTGTTTGCGTAGCCGTATACCAAACCAACTCCATTCTACTGGTTAGATTTACACACCTTGCAAGGAGGCTACCAAGGAGAAATCTAGGTCTTGTGGGAAATGCATTTCGCCAACAGGGAAGGATCTCAAGGTACGAAGGAACCCACAAGATCGATTGGCCATAAACAGACTACTGTAAGTACTAAACCCCACCCTGCACCCTGCACCTTACGCAAACCAAGCACTGGCATCTACAGATGCTCCATCCACTTATTATGCCCATCTGTTTCACAGCTAGTATTATGCAGAACAGAATCGATCACACCAGAAATTTGAACGGAAAAAAAAACAATGAGTGGACAAAACACATAAGCAGAAGAGTTTTCCTTGTTTTTTCTCAGATTTTGATCGAGTTGTGCCAACCATGATCTAATAGTGCATGGAAAAAGGACAATACCCGAAATAACTAGGAAGCATCTAAATTTCACCAATGCCGTGTTACCCATGTCTGAAGAACTCTAATGCCGTGTTATCCATTATCCACACGGTAGATACAGAAGCAGCAAGCCAACCAAGCAAACAGAGTAAATACAGTACATACCAACACCAAGGTAAGCTCGAATAATCCACATGGTGCTATATATATATATTTATATATATGCTCAAAAAATTGTGCAACTCTTCGACGAAGTACAAACATACCGCATTAAACATTGATTGATAAAACAACAACAGAGAGCTCGCTCCATTTGTGCAATTTCCTATTTTCCTTTTCTAAACGCCGATTTAATTACTCTACTCTCTCTCTCTCTTTTTTAGATGGAATTTATCTACCCCACTGTACCCCTTCCTTTGTGACTATCCCCCTGTCAGCGCTAGCATCAGAGCAAACTAAATACTAGGCATTAACACATTTCGACAACGCAGCATCAAGCAACCCAGCCAGAGATGAACCAAGCACGAACGAATCACAGGAGCTGCTGCGTGATCCTGACAGACACAATCTGCCCGCCCCTCGACATGTCCCGCATCGCCTGGAACCTCGACAGCAACCCTGTCATGGGAGACACACGCACGCGCCATAGCAAAGACTCATGTCAGAACTAGGCTCCAGCCAGATAAATGCGTTACTTCAGGTCATTATCTTGCCAGAACTAGACATACCTTCGTTGGGCTTGAGGTTGCTGCTGAGGGCGACAGCGACCGGGGTGAAGCATCCCTTGGGCAGCAGGTTGGTGCGATCCCGGATCCAAGACTTGGAATTGAGAATATCTGCACAAACGATGCCACAGTCAGCGTGAGTGTCATCCTCATATCCAGGCAATCATGTATGAGTAATGAAGTGCTGGAATGGATGAATAGTTCAGGAACAAACTTTTGACACATGGGCTATCGATGTGGTCGTGGTTGAAGATGGCGGCGGCGGCAGTATCCAGCTTCCCATTGCTAAAGTAACTGCCGAGGTCCTCATACTCCCAGGTCCCATCCCTGAACTTGTTCTCCAGGTACAGCTCGCAGTGCCGCGCATCCAGAACCTGCATCGTCCCTGTACCACAGGTTGTTCCAATCCAAACCAAATTCAGAAACAAGCACCGCAATGGCAGGACGAAGAACAACGTCCAGCCTAGCTCCTCACCTTCGCACTTGTTGAGGTTGCACACGGGGCACCGCACCATGTTCATGTCTGCATCATTGAAGAATGTCAGACATTTTAACAAGACCAGCAAGTGAGCCAGGAATGGCCGAGAAGAAGGGCACATGATGTATGCACGTACCAGCGATCCAGATGCCGGGGCGGACGTTGGTGAGCAAGCAGGCTCCCATGAATCCGATGGAGATCTCCGGGCCATCATCCAGGATCGGCCTCCATGGTGGCAATGCCAGCTTCGCCGTCAGCAGCAGCTTCGTGGTGTCCATCAGGAATCCACCAATGCGAAACCACTCTGCACCACACCAAGCGTCAGGTAAACACACGACAGCAAACAGCAACGAACAGGCCGGGAAATGACGTCGCTGCGCTGTGCTCACCAATGTGCTTCTCGGGCTGACGGAAGCAGTACGCATGGGTATCGTCTGAAGGAAACAGAGGACAGAGGAGCACGCACGTCAGTACGTGTCGAGTGGCGGCAGTGGGAGGGAGGAATAAGCTCAACGGAGGCCTTGGTGCGTACCGAAGGCGGTGGCATAGAGGAGGCGCCAGGAGCGGTGGAACGGGCGGGGAACCTGGAGGAGCCTGAGCATCTTGGGCTCGTTGGTGCGGAGCGAGAGGTCGCGGAGGAAGGCGTAGCGCCAGATGGAGTCCTCGTAGAGGAGGCGGAAGAACCAGAGGCAGGTGGCGGAGAGCCTCAGCAGGTCGGCGCCGTGCAGGTGCTTGGCCACCTCCGTCCAGATGTCCGGCTCATACCTGCACCAAACAACCGACGAGAGCATTCAGATTTCGAACCTGCAGCACAAATCACAGAACAGATGGATAACGAATTCCTGAATCACAGCACAAAGCAGGAAACCAGTACTCCAATCCCTGAAGCATCGGAATCACAAGTAATCGGTTCATGCGTCAGGCATTATACATTGGTCGACAAACACTTCGCTCCAGCGAATTTGAATTCGAACCCAAAAAAAAACAAAATGACACAGCAGTACACCTAAACTGGGACTGCAGACGGCAATGCAGAGGGCGCACTGGACCGAATCGAAGACCTGCTGCTTCAAAATCACCAACAGAACAGTACCCGAATCAATTCAAACACAGGAAACTATGCCCAGCGACTCTGCATTCCTAATTGGAAACACTAAGCCCAGAATTTCGAGGGCGCAGCGCACCAGTTCTTACACCAAACACATCCAACGCAACAGAAATTCGAATCATCTCCAAGCTCCAGGCTACAAAATCCAGAGGATTCAAACAGCAACACACACTGCAAACTGGGTTAAGTTGCGATCGCTTCAGTACCAAGCTCGATTCACGGCAGCAGAATTCAAACCACTACAATACGCAATTCAGTAGGTAATTTGCACGGATTCATCACACAAATGCTCAAGCTCAATTCCCTCCCTCTGATTCGAAGCACCAAGTTCCAGAACCACACACACACACGTCATGACCAGAGGATTCAAACTAGGAACTCGAATCGATTCGAAGCGCAGCCCAATTAAACCCGCCACCACGGGAAAATTCAAATCGACAGACCCGCACTCACGCATACACCAGAGAGAGCAGCGGGAGAGCAGAGAGAGAGAGAGGGAGAGGGGGCGGGGAACAGCTTACCAGTTGAAGGGGACGCGAGAGCGGGGGATGAAGGAGACGCGCGACAGCGGCGCCACGATCCTGCAGCACCTGGAAGGCTGGAGGCCGGCGACGGGGCTCCCGATGCCCTGCTGCGCGCACCTGGCCCTCTTGCTCGGCGCCGGCGGCTGCGTCTTCACCGCCGCCGGCCGCCGTGGCCGCTTCCTCTCCGCGTCCTGCTTCCGCGGCCGCTTCCTGGGCGGCGTGGGCGGCGGCGACGAGACGAAGTCGGGGTCGAGGCGCCGCGGCCGCGGGCGCTTCCTCAGCTCCATCCCCATCCCCTCCCCCGGCTCTCTCTGCGGCTTTGGCTGCGGGCGCAGGAGGGAGAAGGCCTTGCCCATGCAGCGCCCGGGACTGGGAGGCGGAGGCGAGGTGCCGTGCGCTGCTGCGTGTGGGGGGAGGAGGAGCTAGCAGCGACGATCGCATATATAGGTGGAGGCGAGCGACACGGGTTTCGAAATTTGAAAATGGTTGGGAGAACTGAAGCATATAGCTGGAGAGTCCACGCGTGCCGTCCCACCGGTTCACTGGCGTGTGGGCCCGCCGCGACATCCATTCAGGTGGGCCCGCCGCGACATCCATTCTGGTGGGCCCCGCAAGCCAGTGGACACGAACGAAGGGTGCCTGGTTTCTTCTGCAAGAGGGGGATGAAAAATGCAGGATTAAGTGGCAGTGTCTAGCAGCCATAGAATGCAAGCACAGAGCAAAGATATTGTCAAAATGGACAAGTAAACAAATGGAATCTGATTCGGCTGAGTTTTTGCAGCAACAAATTTACATAGAATCTGGTTTGAAGGAACAAATGGAATCAAGGGTTACAGAAGGGGGTTGTGAGCTGCACAAACAGTGTTTCGTGTAGCATTTATACACAATATATGGAGCTTGATCCGTTCATCATTCATCAACAAAAAGGGAAATGAGTGGAATACATGCACTGCTGGAGCCGGTGGAGATGAACAGGTCTCCAATTTTAGGCGCCCGAGCATGTTGACAATATCCATCAGGCGCCCAAGTAAGAAGATCATAGCTCAGTGTCGCAGAGCTTCACCATCAGGTCGGAGACAATCCGTCGAGCGAAAGGGATGTAGCTCAAGCTATACCTGCGGTGGAGTAAGGGAAGCATGGTCAGGTAATTCTGCCTCCTTCTTCTTCTGAAACTAGGTAGGTAATTCTGGCAGTTGTTTCAAAGGGGAAAGAACAGGAAATAGAGACACAATCAGCGCATTGTTTCCTGGGTTGGAGAATTTACAGTGTCCAAATACCCTGCATCAACGTTTACCGCATGCCATATACACATGTTTAAGTGATATCCAAGTTTGCATCATTGAATGGTCCAATGAAGCTCTGTGTTCATATATAGCATTATGTCATGTTTTCCACTTATTCAAACTGAGATACCATATCCTACTGCACACTGCTGCTGGACCATATCCTATTATAAGAAGAAACATGCACAAGGACACACGAGAACTGCATGCCATGATTCAGCAAGGAAAACACGACGGCCACACTATCATACAGGCCAGTTTAGCTGGTAACAGCAGTTACATTTTTTGCTTTCAGATCCTTGCAGCATTACTTGTTAATTTTTACTCTCTGACAAAAGGTTTGACTACTGACTACTCACTCTTGTCTGCTGCCTGGACCATTGCGCACAGCACTTTCGACAGCCCTGAGCAACTAATAGCCAGTCAATGCTTACTCCAGGTTTGCACATGCCACGGCCGTTTATACAGAGATGATGCTATGACCACTCATGGTTAGGGGTTCCAATATAGCATCGTTATTTGGTACTCGTAGCATTTTTAGGTATGTGCTCTTTAATACTTGTATAGCTATGTAGGTCCAACTGTACAAGAAAGTATGTTATCAAAAGACATAGTCGAGGCCTATGTATAACAGAGTGCATTGAAGGATTGGGCCAACTGCAATACTGCATATCATCCACTGGTGTATTTGTGCTCCACCACTCCAGTCTAAAATAATAGGCAAGTTTGAGGTGTAGCTCTATTTCGAATTCCAGGTATTGCTTTTTCGACAATTTGACATGGCTGGAACTGACCATGCTACAGATATACAATGACTTAAATAACTTGGGTGAAGAGATACAAAAGACCAAACGACAAAAATGAGGGCAGCCTGAAACCAATTCCTGAAAAATGCAAGAGGACATAACTGTTTTCTGTCATCTTGAAGTATAAAGCTAATCTCAGTTTTGCTAATGGTCCTCTAAACACACATTCGGTGCATGATAGCACTCAAGGATCAAATGACTGCACATAATTAACTGTATCCATGCTATATGCTTGAAAAGTATTGACAGGTGTTCAGATTATCCTAGTGCATGCAGCAGAACGACATTCTAGACGTTGCCTCACTTAGCACAGTAATAAGTATCAAAATACAAGTGTCATGTACTTTTTCTACAAGCAAAACAAGCAAGTATTTTCGTAGTCTTGTATCTTCCCTTGGTCTAATTGAGGTACATCATGCCTCAATTCAGACATATTTGCAACTTTTCAAGTGACATTACAATGTGATAGTTAAGGATTAACAAGTCAGTAAGTCTGCTATTTGTAGCAAAGGCAACTTACCAGAAGAGCGCACATATCTCACATATGATTGCAATCAATGTTAGCAGCTTGTCATGAATCTGCACATAGACCACCATCAGAACACGCGGTTATCTGTTGGGTTTTGATAGCTGTTCATTCAACTAGGTTATTTCCTTACAGGAATAAAGCCATTACATGAACTAAGGGTTTAGAGATTACTAACCAAAAGAGCGAAAATCAGAGCAAAAACAGCACATCCAACATAAATAGCCGTTGCATAAACACGAACTGGGTCAAGCATCATCCTCAATTGTTTATTTACCCCCATTATAAAGACTGTGCTGCCAAACAAAGGTTGAAATCAACATATTGCAACAGGTGAATATTCAAGAAGAAAGTTAAGTAGAGCTAATGCATGAGCTGAACATATGTATCAAACTGGCATTTGACAGGATCATATGATTCACTTGAAAAATTTACTGCAGTTATATAAAAAGAGACACCGATATAAGGAGGATTACAAATGTAAACAGAAAGCCCATGAGTTAAAATCTGTGTAATCACCTGCCAACTGCCATTATGTTTCCAAATGTAAACAAGAGAGCAAATTTGATAGGTCTGGCGAAAACAATAAGTGACTGCAAAATAAAATAAAAGGTAAGTACTAAATCATATGAAGAATTTACATTTAGACAAGTTTTACTTGCTGCAACTAACTTCTGCTGAAGAGTTTTGAGTTGCCAGTAAACTGTACTATAAGTTTAAAGCCTAATGATCCAATGTCTACACACTAATGGAATTAGGTGAATTAACAATTGTCTTGGTCATCCAAGACCAAATCAGAACAAATTTCGCATAAGCATTGCATTTGAAACCTTAAACTCCAACTAAGAGAAGGCAAAGCATCAGTTCAGTAGTTCACTAGCACCGACAGGCGACAGGTTAAATGTGACATGAGCTTACCGGGAAGGGCTCACAGGCACCGACAGGTTAAATGTGACATGAGCTTACCAGGAAGGGAAAATCCAGCAAAGAAATCAGTGTTGGGTTAACTAAAGTTCTTGATGCTGAAATAGGCATTTTTACGCATGTGATACATTTCTTTCTGACTTATAGCTTTGTTAAGCCTAAATGTCTGAATGACATATTTAATATTTGGAAGGAATAGCATCAGGCATTGCTGGAAATAACACAGTAAGCACAACTCTTAACTCTAGTTCTTAATCCCTCAATGTATAGGACCCAATTGCTGAAAATAGCGTCAGCACGGGCAGCCAACATGGCTAATTATTCACCTGCAGTCAACTACAGCAAAAGCTGTGCGTGCGACAGATCATAGGCGGAAATTACAGCGACGTACCAGCATCATGAGGGCGAGTCCAGCAACCAAGCAAGCCGCGAAGGCGTAGAGCCGCTGAAGCAGGCAAAAACAAGCAGAACACATCAGATCGGCAGGGACCAAGAGAGTAGAAACAGCTGCTGCGGTCGAGGGTTCTCGGAGGGGTCTGTTTTACCTGGAGAGGGGACAGAGAGCAGAGGCCCTCGGTATCACCGAGGATGTCGTCCTCCTGCCACTCCTCGTCGTCGCCGCCGGCGACCGACCGGTGGAAGCGGGTGAGGGCGTCCATTATTGCTCCGATCGGTTTCTCTGTTTCAGCTTTGGGGATCGGCTTCCATCTGGTTGGCGTGGACATGAGTGCTTGCATGAAATCTGGGCCGTCCGTTTGGCTCCTCGAAGATCTGAAGGCTGGGAAGAAGTCAAGAGTTCGGTGCTAGGAGCATCCGCAGAGCAACTCTTTGTTTGTACGTAATTTGGAGCTTTGTTTATTACTCCCTCCGTCCGGAAATACTTGTCATCAAAATGAATAGAAGAGGATGTATCTAGATGTATATTAGTTTTAGATACATCCTTTTTATCCATTTTGATGACGAGTATTTTCGGACGGAAGGAGTACTCAGGAGTAATACATTTCTGGGCAATACAATCGTGGAGACAATCTGAAATATAGTTAATCCAGAGACATCTCCTATGAGATTCACCAGATTATTTAGCACATAGGTGAGCTGTCAAGTTAGCCTCTCGCCTTACAAAACAGATAGAAAAACTACTGAAGTTCCCTCTTAGCTCTATAATCTCCTGAAGTGGCCTGGCAATATCGGCTTACTCCTGAAACTTACACATGTTTATCACCTCAAGGGCATCACTCTACAATGTTATCTTTGTCCATCCCATATCGGCTGCTAGTGCAACAACATCTCTGGTCGCCATAGTCTCCATTAAGTTGTCCAAGTAAGCAAATTCACACCATCTAGCTTGTGCACGCACAAGTCCTGTGTGGTCACGCACTGCAAGATCCGGTCTACCTTGGCCCATGCTCTGCAGGAATTGGGCATCAGTGTTTATTTTAAGTTCTCCGAGTGATTTAAGTTTAAAGTCCACCGAGAGAAAACCCCTAGAGCTGAAAAATTAGATAGTAGTTCAGCATCACTCGAATCTAAGTCCAGTACGCTCCGCCTATTACTCTCGAGAGCTGCAAACTCTCTAGATGATTAGGTGTCAATTTCTTCAGAGACCAAGAGTGATTGTGCTTCTTGAAGAAGTCTGTGAAGGTTTGGAGATCGCCTCAAGTATCTACCACGAGTAATCGGCATTGGTTGACGAACCAATTGTCGGGGAGAACAGGGCGAAGTGAGTTTATCTTCTATGTTAAATCATAACCCTTCCAACCAAACATAGTCAGGGACGGAGTTGCCTTGTAAGGACTGGGGTCAATTGACCCCAATGG